AAATGACTACTAATGTAAGCTGGCGGCCAGTAAGTATCAGGTGTTCCCGACTCCACTGATGATATGAAATAGATGCTATCATGGGCAGTGGAGGTAAGTGTCTGCTCATATAAACTGCACGCCGGTAAGTAGTACATGTTTTGGGCTCCACTGAAGATGTCGCAGCCGTGCAAACATTTGCAATAGAGGTAAGTAGCTACTCACATGAGCTGGCCACTAGTAAACAAAAGCGTTTGCCGGCTCCACAGAAGGTGTCACAGCAGCGCCTTCGGTCGGTTTGAACCCTGAATATTTCCTAAATGCTTAACGCCTATGTGCGACCGTTAGGCGTGGCAGCCGTGGCAGGAACAGGAGCTTATTGCTCTTGAGACTCCTCAAAGAAGGGCAACCAAGAACGTCAATGGCCCATTTTACCTGCATTATCAAGTTAGACTGATATGGCAGAGTGTACAGCGGCCGATATCGGCATTTGCGGGGAAATCTCATGATCGTTTACCAAATTCTGAAGAACCGAAATTACATTTGCCGTCCGCTGCTGGAATTGAGCCGCAACACTAACATAAGAGGTCACCATCTGAAACTGACAATTCTGTATAGCCGGCCTGAGCGCCGTAGCGATTGCTTTTCCCTCCGCGTGCGCCAGCCTTGGTACGGCTGCCGTAATTATGTCGTCTGTGCCCCCAGTCTTGCGGTATTTAAAAAATTAGTTGATGATGCATTGTCTCACTTACGTATCATTTTACAACTTGTTAGCCAGGGGTACAAAACTCAATCAAACTGTGTCTTGCCAATCGCCTTACCAGTCGATTTATACGTTCAACACGCAAAAATCTCCGCTATTCTACTAAAGTCTATGGTGGGTCCATCAAAACGCTTTTCACTTTAGAACGCAATTTAATTGTCGCAATAATTTCTATTCCACAGGACTTCCTAAGCGATATATTTTTACTCGTAATAAACCGTTGTTCCATTGTTCCATATTCAATAGAGCTAACGGACTACGTACGTACGCTGGGCACGGATAATTATGACATGTTGCAGCTGCACAGAATGTGTCACTACAATGCTACCACATGCAATGGAGCTAATGGGCTGCTTGCATACGCGGGCCACCGTTAATTAGGGGGTGTTCCCGGTTCTAATTAAGAAGTCACAGCAATGCTACCATATACAATAGAGCTACCTGAGTACTCAAATAAGCTGCACGCCGGTAATTATTAGATGTTCCCGACTCTACTTAACATATCACAGCGATGCTAACATATGCAATAAAGGTCACTGACTACTCACATAAGCTGGCCGCTGTTAAGTACTGGAGGGTGCTAGCTTCACAGAAGATTTAACAGCAATGCTTCCATATGCAATAGAGCTAAATAACTGCTAACGTAAGCTAGCGGTCGGTAATTATTAGATGTTTCCCACTCTACTTAAGATAGCACAGCGATGCTAACATATGCATTAGAGCTCACTGACTACTCACCTTAGCTGGCCGCTCTTAAGTGTTATAGGCTGCTGGCTCCACAGAAGATGTCACAGCAATGCTGGCATATGCTACAGAACTGATTGACTACTCTGAGAAGCTGGAGGTCGTTACGTATGTGTTCCCTACTCCGCTGACGATGGCAAGGGGGTGCTACCATAGGCGCTGGAGCTAACGGACTACGCATATAAGCTGGACGCCGGTAATTATTACGTGTTGCCGGCTCAAATGAACATGCCACAGGCGTGCAACCATTTGTAATAGAGCCAACTAAGTACTCATATAAGCCGGCCACTAGCAAACAAAACTGTCGCCGGCTCCATAGAATTTCCCATAGCAACACGGTGTCAATTTCATAACAAGATAAGGGTGAATGTTACGCAGGGGAAATGTTGCTCAAGCCCAATCGAAGTGCTCACGCTGTTATTGAGAGCGTTATGGCTTTGTCGCGTGAACACAGTGGATCACTGAAGTCCGAGCTATATTCTATACAACGGCCATAGGGGTATCAAATAAATGCTGAACGTACCTGCTGAACTATGCCATCAGGGGCGATTCGTCCGGACACCTGCGGGGGCCATAGAAAGACATGTGTAGACAAGATAAAGACGTAAGACTGTGCGCATAAATGTACGTGACGAAACTGGCTTACCATTGCCTGTGTCACGCTATGCTAACTTGCCAAGCATGTTTAGAGGCGGTACGCTTGGCATGCGGTATATATGAACTGCCACTAAGACTGGGGTTCTGTTGTAAAATAAATACACATTAAGGCATAATGGTCGTTCGTAAAGCCACACACTAGACTGCCATGCGGTATGGTCCAAGCGGTACCAGCAGCTTTCGTGCAGCGTGAGTTACCATCCGGGGGAAGCAGACCGCTGCAGCACCAGGGGTACCCATTAAAATGGCCGGTTTATCTTTCTCGTGTGCATGCATGGATAGAAATTCATTTAGGAAAAAGTGCACTCACATGCAAGAGATGCACGTATAGTTCTCTTCGTCTCCGTTGTACGTTGCACATACTTGATGAAGCCATCTGTTGCAGTTGCAGCACCTAACCCAGTGAACGACGTCTCCGATGGTTCTTGTTTCATCATCGGTGTCGCAAATTACGCATACTTTTTCTTTCTTGTTTGCAGGTTGCATAATCCCTGCTCTGGTGCGTTTATTCGCAGTTAGATCCACCGCAGCATTGACAGTCGGGTTGCGTGGGAAGTACAGTGGGTGCTCTTCGGTCGACAGATGCGGAGTTCGGTCACCCTAGGCTACAGCGACTGCTTCATTTTTGTTGCCTTGGGGCGGTCACGTCGTGGTAACGCGTCAACCTGGTCCAGGTTGTTAGGAAGGTATTTTCCCGCTGCCACCAAGCTCTGCCTACATAGCAACGTGTTCAGGCTGCTTCGGTAGAACTGCTCCGCCCCAAGGAAAGCCACTGTACCCAGACTGGTCATGTCAACAGTTATATCACCCAACAGCTGGTTGACAGGGACAACTTCTTATCCCTCTTAACACCACGTGCGGAGAGGCAGATGTAGAGGGCATCGGTAGAAGTTCCCCAGGTAATGTTTCACAATCAAGGATGGGAATCTGACTGTCCGACATTGAGCAGCTGCATAAGCTGGGTTATGTCGGCGGTTAACAAGCCAGCAACCAGCACAATGTGTGCGCATGGCATATCTCACTGACTTGGGAACGAGCAATCGCAGCGCATTTCATTACTCATCACAACCATGCGCCTGTGGTCGCTCTTGCCTAATACTTCATACCTAGTGCCGATAGGTCGTTTTGATGTGACCGTCCCCGAAGAAAAGTGCCACATAATTATGCCAGCAGTATAAGAAGACGGACAAGAAACCAACTCCTTCACCTGTCCAGTTCCCGAAATGGTGTGTGCGTTCATTATACGCAACTTGGCTAACGACGTGGTCCAACGCGATTCCGCATCACGTGCTCTCCGGACAACGGTCTCATAAAGTTGCAAAAGCGATGTTTTTCGCTTAAGTCGCACTTCAGATGTTTACCCTCGTTCTCCACTCTGTTTGCGGCGAACACGCCCAACGTGCCCACTTTGCGCAATCTATGGTACGCCAAGCTTCCAGCGGAGGGCAACCCCGTCCAACAGAGGTACGTGAACGCTTCTTTGCTTCTGATCCTTATAGCTATAAGCAGCATATTCAACTGTAACTCCGTCTTTGTGTAGACTAATCTGGGCATCCACCGCTTCAGCAAAACTCTGTCCGCCCGTTTCACTTTTTCCAGAGACTGCCATCTGCAAGAAACGTCCCGCAGCAAACGGACCCGGCAAAATACTACCATGGTCCGTGGATATGCTGGCTTAAATGGCTTTATTTGCCCCAAACACCTACCCATAACTGTAGTCTTCGCTGATTGAGTGTTGAGCAACATTTCTGATATCCCCCGAGCAACCTTCGGGTAATTGCCTGCCGTCTCGTTTGGCATCAAAACCTAAACCACTCTGCGACCTACGCTGAAACCGTAAATTACCATGCAGTGCCAAAGAATGTAACCATCACAGATCACCTGATGCGTGGGGTCTGCAGGTAGGACGTCCCTTATTTCGTTACTACGGAGGCCATCGATGCAGGGACGAAAAGTAGGAAAGGCACCTGCGAACCATCAAGTTCTACACGCACAACACCAGGTTTACTAAACGATTCCGCAACCGCGATTACGTCATTCTTCTTAGATATCCCACCTAATCGATGGCGGATAGCAAAGAGATCTTGTCGATTCAATCGTTTGTTATACTTTTCTAACACATAGCTTCGCAGTTCTCGGGTATTACGGAACGGCTGCTTTAACGCAAACACTTGCCGCTCCGTCTCGGGATTCAGGCGCCGGTTACTGCAGTACAGATATTTATTTCCCTAGAGAAAGTTATGATTATGCACAAAAGAATGCAAGCCTATTTCATGGTAAATGCCCTTCGCAATGATGCCTATACTAGCTTTACAACCGAGGCTGACATACCTACTGCAACATGAAGTACACATAAGAAAACGTTTGCGCTTACCGACTGCCACCTTCTCTTTCTCGGTTGCAACGGACACAACAATATTGTGCTCATCTGTACCGCATACCGTCGGGTAGCTCTTGACCAGCAATCTTCTTTTTTGATACGGCGGTCAGTACGTCCTGTTTGTAAGAACTTGTCGCCGTCTGAACTTGAAACCGTCTCAAACCTTCCTTGAATTCATTAAATGCCTTATAATATTGGCGTAAAGTAGCGCGGAAAGCCACAGTATCATTCACAGCCATTGCAGCGAAACCGAAGCAACACCTGCGAACTAAAACAAACACTTTCATTCAACGTAAAGTAATGTACCACCATTTTCAGTTGCCCTAATTTAACATACGTTTAAAACATAATGAGCAACTACTGAGCGTAAACATTTAATAAATCATTTTCAAGGCCTAACAACGTAGTTCATAACATTCCTCCTTAGCGGCCAGTACAGTAAGCAGCAGCGCCCCCAAATTACGATCAGCTGTTTTCGATTAATCCGACGCTCTCCAACAGCGGTCTGTTGGCGCCCTCAAAGAGCACGACGGAGGGACATGCCTGCGTGATCGCTGGACCCTTGAAGTACACCGTATGAAACGTCAGTCACGAACTCGAGTGACTTGGCGAAAAACCAGATCTAAAGTAGATGGTATTTGGTTGTCCATATACCTAGTGGGGAGGTCCACGAAACGGTGTAAAGACACTTGGTGAGTCCGCTCAAGCAAGTCTGCACTGAATGTTCCTGACGCTGAATTTCAAGAAGGATCGGCTCCACAGACTTCCGGGAGGTTTAAATCCCCTAGAACTATACGCTTATTTGCAGACTGAGTGCGAATAAAGTCAAGTATCTCCATGGAAGAACTTCCAGGACTCCTGTATATCACTGCATCTGTAAACTGGGTAGAAGCAGTGCGCAAAACAGCCTATATGTTCTCAAAAGTCGGACTCGATGACCGGAATGTGCAGGTCCTCAACTCCTTTAAGTTACAGCTCACATACAGTGCAACGCCTCCGCTTTGGCGACTACCGCAGCAATCAGTTCTAAGCGGCGTGTAGCCAGGTAAACATACCTCACCGTTCGTGATATCCGGCGACAACCGCGTTCCATCGAAAGCAAGTGTCGGGAAGAGATTTGTCTACAAGTAGAACCAACTCGTGCACCCTGTTCTTTAGGCTACGCACATTGCTAAGTACTACCTCAAGGAAGTCGGCGCGACCATCATAGAGCTTGCTTGGACATCATGGCAACATTTTTTAAGAACCGAGTATTTAACAACTGTAATAAACTTCCTCCTGGTTTAGTGGAATGTGAGTCTGTAGACGCCTTCAAAAGGGGCTTAAATTGTGTTTTTCCGTCTTTTTCCCAGAGATTGTAATTGTACTAAAATATGTAGTGTACTTTGATGCCGCCACATTAAAGTACAGAGGTTGCCCTTGTTCTTGCTTCATTTCTTTGCAGAAGTAAGAATAGTCAAGCCAAGGTTGAAGTAGCGGGGGCCGCTTCACTTACCGGCACGAGTAACTGGACGATCGTTAGACGGAATCCTCTATCGTCCGTTCTACCCGACCTGACTTGTCACCATTCGGGCGCCCATCGGACACCCAAAGGAGGCTCATCGGACACTGGTGCTGAGTGGGGTTGCGGTTCGTCAACGCAACTGACATAGCGGGGATTGCCAAGGTAAGGAATATGGGCAGTAAATTGGTGGACCAGGGTGTTTTTCGGGTGCTTTTGTTTTAGACCAAGCAAGAACTCTGAACACCCCTATCAACTCCTAGATCAACGACACGCTAAAGAAGAGACACTTACGGGATACATCCTATCATTCTGGTACCACTTGAACTTAAATTTGACTTTACTGTTCATCCGCGTCAAATTCACTGCTCTGTCAGCAGTACGTGTTAAAAATTTTGGTCTGTATGCTGACCTAGTTTTTAGCTACAATATGGGACCGTCGAGTTCTCCATTGGCGGAAGGTTAAATACTGGTTCTTGCTCATAATGACAACTGGTTTCTGAGTTCTCGAAATGTATGGGTTCTAAGGGAGTACTTTTTTGCAAAAGCTGATTATAAAGAGGGCAGAAACTCCAGAAAGCTAACAACTGTACGGTATCAGACTTATTTGCCAAGTTGTATAAATATGAAAAGTCACTATATAACAGTAGGCAAATGGTAAAAACTGAACGGCACGTAAAACTCGCTTAGCGCTGGCCGCATTATGTCAACGTAAAATGAGCGAAGTGGCAGCATTTATGGTAGATTTTCCTACATATACGATTGTCGAGGTACAGCATGTGGTTTGTAAGTAGGCATTGGTTTGCAGTAGAAATTACCTGTGGAATTCGTAACCGTGTAATGGAAATGGTAATTAGAACAATTAGTAATTGTTAGCTAATTGGCTGCGTGTGGGTAAAAATGTCTCCTGCACTAAAATTATATACATTTATATATAAAAGTTGGTGGCATCTGGTTTCAGATTTGCTTGTCACCGTCGCCAGCCATAGGACGCCTGCGCCTACAAAGGGACCATCGGTGGCTTGCGCTGCACCACCCACAGCTCCAACCACGCACCCTATATCCAATGTAAACCCGAAGGAATAAGACCGGGAGGCATGTGGATGGGAGTCACATTTCGTCAACGGAGCCGGCCCACACGCCTGCACAGGAAAACACAAGTACGCTGTATTTGGGAAATCAGTCGCACACAAGTCACTGGCTGGACCATAGTCCGCTCCACACTGAGTGCAGGGAACCACACTTTGATCCTAACATGGCTGCAAGAACCGTGCCCCCAGTCCCCTCCAGCAACGACCAACTGTCTCCTAGAGCCAGTATGGACGAAGTAGTGGGTAATTGACAGGTAGGCACCTTGTCAACAGGCACATCAAGCGCAGCCACACCGGGGATGTCAAGCAACAGTCAATCACTTGAGAGAAAGCTAACAAAGAAAAGAAGTCGAGTAATGCATGCGAAAGCGTGACAAATATCTTAAATTGATGAGCATTTGAAATCATTTGTTAACAAAGGATCCGAGATAAGTTCAGGGAGTCAGTAAGCATATTTTTCGGAAGGGACACAAAAAAGAAAATGTTATCGTAACTAACTAATATTTATAAATATATATACAAATATATACTTTCAATTACTTTAAATGTTTAAGGAACCGTTGTTCCCCCAAACACCTCTGAAGCTCCGACGTGAGTAATCATCGACTTCGATGCTTACGCACCATTACTTCATGCAAAATCATCCTGCGTCAATCAAAATCATTTCATTTTGCACACCTAGCAGGAAGAGGATGATGATCACAATAACAAAAGCAGCAGTCCCCACTATTGACTATAACTTTCCACTGCGTCCAAAATTGTATACCACAAAACCAACCGTAATTAAGCAAAATTTTTCTTTTAGGCAACATAACATTGCCGTAACCTATTCAATACCCCATTTTACATGTATTATTGATCAAACATGCAGGAGTACATGGATTTACACACAAAACATTAATTCACATATGCATTTCTTACTTATGAACATACCATTATCCATTACTACCTTCGTAACCTATATATGCATATATATGTAGGCATAAACGTACTATATATATATACAAATTTACATATATACATGTATATATGCCTATATATATGCCTATATGGGTCAATGAAAGTAGTAAGGAATAATGGTATGTTCATAAGTAAGAAATGCATACGTGAAGTAATGGTTGTGTGTAAAGCCATGTGCTCCTGCATGTTTGATCCATAATACATGTAATATAGATGATTGAAGAGATTTCGGCCGTGTTATGTTGCACGAAAGAAAAATTATGTTTATTTGCAAATGGTTTTGTGGTATATAAAAGTGAACGCAGTGGAAAGATAAATTTAAGAGTGGGGATTGCAGCGGTTGGTTATTGTAAGCACTATCCTTTTTTTACTGCCAGGTGTGCTAAAGGGAATGATTTTGATTCACATAAGCCGATTTTGCATGAATTCATGGTATGTATGCATCGATGACCACTCATTTCATAGCTTAAGTGCTTTCTGGGGGAACACGGGTTCTTTAAACATTTAAAATTGTTTACAGAATATAGCCTGGGGAAGGGTAACGGAGTTAATCTGTTGTATGCGGTTAAGTGGGGAAGATGGAATTCCGTAAAGTTTACCGTAATACATAAATGAGACATAATGTTCTATGTCCATTAAACTTAACTGAATATGTAGCCCATTTTAGGTTACTTATTAGTGTAGCATGATAATTATAAATTAGCCCTTTGCTAAGTAGAATAACAATACGTACTGCAAAGGAAATGAATGTTTGGATCAACGGATTGGCAGTGGAATGGAAACGGATGCACATGATGACGTTGTGCTGATATACGCCGTACTTTTTTAAGGTGGGGTATGATTGTATTAGGTGGGCAGCGAAACGCTCAAAACATGTAGAAACCATACAGTCATACATACAAACCGTATACAATTATTATTGACTTTGTGGGGGCGTTGCTAACGCTTATAAGCCATCAAGCGAGAATACTGAAAACCGATTCATCACGTATTAGGACAGGACGAATTGTGGGGCCACATGGTAAACATTCCAAAGATTCAGTGAAATAGCCAAACAAAGTTTACGAATAATCTAGCGCTACAGCGGCATGTTTATCGTTGAAATGAGGGTATAAGTTGAACTTACCACGTTCTTATTGGATGAGTATATTCGCATTGCTTGCAGTGTTTCGCCACACTCCAAGATGTAGGACTTCGCCTATATATTGTCTGAAGCTTACGGAACCACCCGCTGAACATTGTGAGCTTGTAGTCCGCCGCAAGGAGTGGGCGGACTTTGCACTTTGCCTGGGCGATGTAGGACGACAAGGCACAGTGACTGAGGGTGGCCCTGAAAAAGGCGATTGCTCCGTTCTCTAAGGAATGTGAAATGTAGAGGAAAGTGGAAAGCGAATGCAGACCGGATCCGTCACTATGACAGGAGACGACTAACGCACGTACGTCACCGAGCGACCAAGGGCGGTAATGAGGACGGCGGACTGTGGCGCATGTGTACTATGTTTCTGAAAGGGAGGTCATCATTTAAATTGGATGTTATCTCTTGCTGGCATTCACTAACGCCTGATATAGAGGTATTAGTCCGTAGGAGGCAGCGATAACCTTGACGTTGTGGGCGGCGCATATGTACTTTGCCTATGAAAGTGATGTCATCATTGAAATGTAACCTTACCGTTGTACATTTATCACTGATGAACGCTCAAGTGAGGCGAATACGTAGAACGTTGACAGTGGCAGGGTTCAGCTTGACGGCGGCGCATGTTATTTTGGCTGTGGAATGACTGGCAGCAATGTCCCGAAAAGATACGTGTAACTACATTTCACAGGTGCGTCGTATTACGGAGGCTTTACGTTTGAGGAGAAGCAGTGTCAGGGGTGAGAGGGATGACGAAGGGCGGTGCATACCACTGTGGCTCTGAAAGAGAAGTGAGCATGGGAATCCAATGGTACCTGTGCATATGAATCAATAATGCATCACATACGGGTGGCAGTACGCGGGCGTGGGCGCAGTGGTTGAGTTAAGCACTAGGGCACACGGTGGCTCATATTACTATGGCTGTGCAAGCGAAGCGTTCATAGAAATCCAATGGTATCTATGGCTATGAATCAATGATGCATCAATTGCCGGTGGCAGTATGTGGGA